ACACACACACACACACACACACACTCTTAGAAACTCTTCCCCCCCACACACCCTCTCAAGGTTTCTTTCTTACTTCCTGTCCTCTATGAGCTCTCTGTCCAACTTGGACACAGAAATCTAAAAATGCAAAGATAGGATCCATATATGACAGAGAGAGCATACTATTTTGGTCTTTCTCAGCCTGGGTGATCTTATTCATTAGATTTTTCCAATTGCATCCATTTTCCTGTGAATTTCATATTTTTTTTTGTCAGCTGAATAAAATTCCACTGTGTGTATACCACAGTTCTATCACCTATTTGTTCAGGGATGTTAAGAGGGTAAACATTTGTGGCGCAATACCCATGAAAGTAGTGTGCTAACCCAAAAGCATCTATCAATCTTCAGAGGGATACCTGGAACACATGATGATACCAATCCATATGTTCATAGATTGAAATATTGATTAGCAAAATGAGAACATGTACTGATGAAGGAAAAGGTTCAGACACTGTAAATCCAATTATTTCCTCTATGTTGGTAATTATCTTAGTTCCCTAGTGAGTGTAGAGAAGCTTCTCTGGTGAGATGAGACTTAGAGGCTTGGTCACTGTTCCATAACTGTGAAGAGACACCATGACTATGGCAACTCTTATAAAAGAAAGCATTTAATAGGGGTTTGTTTGCACTTTCAGAGGGTCAGTCCATTATCATCATGGTGGGGAGCATGGTGGCAGGCAAGCAAATTTGGTGCTGAAGAAGTAGCTGAGAGTTCCACATCTGGTTCTGCAGGCTGCAGGAAGAGAACAACACTGGGCCTGGCTTATGGTTTTGAAACTTCAAAGATCACCCCCAGTGACACACTTCCTCCAATAAGACCATGCCCACTCCAACAAGGCCACACCTCTTAATCCATCTCAAGTAGTACCATTCCTGATGACTAAGCATTGAATAACATAAGCCCACGAGGGCCATTTTTATTCATACTACCACAGGTAGAGACTGCAGTGAGCCCATGACTTTAAGGGAGCAAACAACCTCTTGAACAAAGGCCACTCCAGAAGACTCAGAAGACTTTAAAAGACCTTAAAGTTGAACAGAAGGAGAGGAGAAAGGAGATAGGAGAAGATAGGAGGGGTGAATATGATCAAAGTAATTCTGTGTATGTATGAAAAATGGCACGATGAGTTCTAGGATTTTTTTTCTTTTTGGTTTTGGTTTGGTTTTTGTTTTTTTTCGAGGCAGGGTTTCTCTGTGGCTTTGGAGGCTGTCCTGGGACTAGCTCTTGTAGACCGGGGGGGGGCTCGAACTCACAGAGATCCGCCTGCCTCTGCCTCCCCAGTACTGGAATTAAAAGTGTGCGCCACCAACACCAGGCTGAAATCTAATTTTTACAATTAGCAAATACTAATAATCCTTTTAAGTGAATTTAGTATAAGAAAAATCAAGGCTTAAAAATCAAATTTTCATTATTGATTAAATTGTTACTGTATATGCATCATTTTCTTTCCAAATGTTTTTTCCCCCTCTCTTTCCTTCCCTCTCCCTTCCTCTATGTTTTTGGGTCAGTCTTATTAGACATTCCAAATCTATTAATCTTATTAAGGAATCAGCCTTGACTGTTACTTTACTCATAATTATTTTCTTTCTATGTCACTGAGTTATTTTCTTCAATGCCTTTTCTCAGCTGTTTTTGGTTTTATTCTCTAATTCTGATTTTTTTAAGTTGTATGTCAGTACCTTATTTTTTTATCTTCTAATATTGGCAGTATCACTGCTATTCATCTAACCATTAAAATGTCACTTTAAAAAGGAAAAAAGGAAGAAAAGAAATATAGAGGAAGGAAGGAGGGATGGAGGGAGAGAGGGAGGGAGGAAGGGAAGGGGACAGGAAAGGAAGAAGAGAGGGAGGAGGACAGAAAGTCTAGTGTAACTGTCTATAAGTCTGTAATCCTCACTTTTCAGAAAGACTTCAGTAGGCTATGTAGGTCTAGACTGCAGCAAACTGACAAGCACTTTGGGATGACTTTGTAATTCTCACTTCCCTGAGGGAAGTTTTCCAAGCTATCCAGGCTACCAGATTCTAAGCTGTAGATGGCATACACTATGTGATGGACTCTCATTAACTAAAAGGCAGAAGTAACCCTTTCACTGCAAGCACACATTGTGGGCTACTAACTACCTATACAGCATGTGAGCCTCCCTTATTCCTCTCCCTAAAATACTAAAGGGAGCCCCTGCTCAGTCTCAGGGGCCTGAACTTTTCAGAACCCATCACAAGGCTGACTATCTCTGATGTTGATAACTCCTAATAAATATGTTACCCCAAAGAATAGTCTGCCTCAGTGTTCCCCTTGGACTCAGAACCTAGTACTTTACAAGTACCATTTCCTTCCTAGGTTCTCTCACAGTATTTTTTATTATCATATAAGGTATGCCAGTAGTTTTTTTTTTTTTAAATATTTTTCATTGTCATCAATTTGAATGATGGTCTAAGTAGTATTTCTATGGTGCTAATTACTGGAAATTATTAAATCCTACTTTGTGAATTTAAAATACAGTTTTTTTAGCACCACAAAACAGAAAACCTATTTGGATTTGTATCTCAATCCAACATTTAATTAGTTCGTTAAGATTGAACAGATAACAAGGTAAGGGCCCAATGACTTTAAGTCTTAAATGTTAAGTAGTAGTTAATGTCACTTAATGCTAACAAGAATGATGCTTAGCTCTCAGTTGGGGATAAGGAGATAAACAAGCCCACACCTTGGCCTGGTGGCCCCTCAAGATAGAAAAACAGCAGCCATAGGCTTAAGTCTAGGCAAAGAGATAAAGGTGCAGTGGTTATTAATGCTTGTGACATAGCCCTGAGGTCTGACCCTGCCCCTATACCATTATTATCAGTGCTTATCTGTGTTCCTAAAAGACACCTCCTCTGGTAATTCTGCATACCAGGGCTTCCAGCAGCTCTCCAGTGGATCCAAATCCCGATGACAGTAATTAATGTGCTCCGTCAGCACCCAAGTCTCACAAACAGCTGTTTTATCTGAAAATTTCCAAGTTCAGGAGTTAGTCAGTTATCCCTTCTCACGGGCCCCACATTTCCTCTCAACTCCTTCCCTCTTCTGTTTAGAATATCTTTTACTTAATGATTAGTGACTTCATTGAATCCATCAACACTAGTCAGAATTGCATCAGTCTCTTGGGCATTCAGCAAAATCTGACCTGATGGAAAACAGCCTACCAAGGAAAACTTGGTCTGAAAAACTGAGAAGGTCAAGGCAAAGGCTGAAGCTGGGAGGAACCTCCGAGGAAGACATTTGAGATCAATTCGTGCTGAGTGTCAGAATATAGAGTGGAAATTTCCACAGCAAATATGTAATTGGAAGCTAGATTTCAAAGAAGAAATTGTGTCTATCCATTAAAAAATGTCCATTATATTCTTATTTTTGTTTAATTCTCAACTCATGTTGGAAAGGAGTTTATGAACTTGGTCAAGAACTCACTCATACTGTTTAGTTGTTGTAGTTGTTTTCCATGAGGGTATTTTTTTTTCACATTGTGTTTGAGTACTTCCAGAGACATGAGCTCATGTCTTTAAGTGACCAAAAGCCTTAGTACTTTGTGCATAAGTAGGTGAGGGAGTAGGAAACTTCTCCTACCTGTGGAACTCAGGGTAGATAAAGAATAAAATGCAGTATTCTTCCCAGATTGGCAGCCATGTTCTTGTGAGGAAATGAAGGCTTTGGTACTATCAACAGCCCCAGCTTTCAAATGGTCTATGGTACAAGGAGACACACAGGATAGAGAGGAGGAACAGTTTGCATTCTCCTTTCTATTGGGGCCTTAAGTTACTCAAATTATGATTAGTGTATATTTTATCCACTTTTTGGAATATGTCAACCACCTAACAGGATGCAGCCTGTTGTGTTGTCTTTGATCTTTTTTCTTTGGCGGGTGTTACCACCCAGCTCCCAAATATTCTTAGTTATCAATGCTCAGCCTTAGCTTGGTTTATTCTAACCAGCTTATTTTTTTAACCTTAAATTAACCCATCTACCTTTTCCCTCTGGGCTTTTATCTTTCCTACTTTTGTATAGCTTACTTTCCTTCTTACTCCATGGCTGGCTGAGTGGCTGGCCCCTGATTTTCTCCTCTCCTTTTTCTCTTGCTTCTTCTCTTCCTCATTTCTCCTTTTATTTATACTCTCTGCCTGCCAGCCCCAACTGTCCTTGATCTTGCTTCATTATTGACCATTCAGCTCGTTATTAGGACCTCCAGGTGTTTAAACAGGCAAAAGATTACAGCTTCACAAAGTTAAACAAATGTAGCAAAACTTGAAGATATATAGCTGAAGATAATATTCTACCACAGGAGCCTGTGTACTTTTTTCATTGGATTCTGAAGTATAAGATCATGACATGGTTTTAAGTAAAGATAATATTATCTGTGTGTATATGATCTCAGGGATGACCACTTGATATTGGATAACCAGTTGAGTGACTCTCCCCTAAGTGGAAGGAATTCCCTGCACTCTCAAAATTCCCTAGTCCCTACATTTCTTTGCCTAACGTTGAGATCACATGAGTTTTTCCCTACAATGTTAGCATGCCCATTGGTTTTATCATTGTTCAGGTCTGGTTTAAGCAGCCATATTGGTAGGACATCATGGGTACAGTCTTTCTGATATTTCTAGAAGATCCAATTTCACAGCAAACTTCCTATTTTTAGGTCTTACAATCTTTACAACCCTTTTTTTGCAATGATCCATAAAATTTTGGTATAGAAATTGTGTTATATGTATATCCTTTGGGACTGGGCATCAAACAGTATCTTGCTCTTTGTATTTTGATCAGTTGCATGAGACTTTTTATTGCAGTTTAAATGTTTTTGCTGATTATAAATCGTCTTTTTGAATTATTTAATATATTTTGGTTTAATTTTAATAGGTTATTTTATTTTTTATTTAAATTAGAAACAATCTTGTCTTATATATCAATCCCAGTTCCTCCTCCTTCCCATTCTCCCATGCCCCCCAACGGCCCCCATCCCATCCCTCTTCTGCTCTATAGAAAGGGTGAGGCCTTCTATGGGGGATCATCAAAGTCTGTCACATCATTTGGGGCAGGGCCTAGGCCCTCTCCTGTGTGTCTAAGCTGAGAGAGTATCTATGGGGAATAGGCACCCAATGTCCATTTGTACACTGTGTATAAATGCTGTTCCATTACCAGGGGCCCCATAGACTACCCAGGACTCCTAACTGATACCCCAAGTGCAGGGGGCCTGATTCAGTCCTATCCTGGTTTCCAAGCTGTCAGTCTCAGGTTCATGAGCTCCCCCTTGTTCATGTCAGCTGTTTCTGTGGGTTTCCCGAGCATGAACTGACCCCTTTGCTCATCATTTCTCCCTCTCTACAACTGGACTCCAGGAATTCAGCTCAGCGCTTAGCTGTGGGTTTATGCTTCTGTTCCCATCAGCTACTCGATGAAGGCTCTAGGACGGCATTTAAGGTATTCATCAATCTCATTATAGGGGAAGGGCATTTAAGGTAGCCCCTCCACTATTGCTTAGATTCTTAGTTGAGGTTATCCTTGTATATCTCTGGACATTTTCCTAGTGCCAGATTTCTCTGTAGACCTATAATGGCTCCCTCTATTAAAGTATCTCTTTCCTTATTCTACTCTATTCTTCCCCCAACTCAATCTTCCTCCCTACTCCTCTTCTCCCCTTCTCTTTCTTCTAACTTCCTCCCCCCACCACACTCCCTGTGCTCCAAATTTGCTCAGGAGATCTTATCCCCTTCCCCTTCTCTTAGGGTCTTCTTTGTTTCCTAGCTTCTCTGGGGGTATGGATTGTAGGCTGGTAATCCTTTGCTCTATGTCTAATATCCATATATGAGTGAGTACATATCATGTTTGTCTTTTTGTGACTGGGTTACCTCACTCAGAATGGTTTCTTCTAGTTCCATCCATTTGCCTGCGAATTTCAAGATTCCATTGTTTTTCTCTGCTGAGTAGTACTGCATTGTGTAAATGTACCACATTTTCTGTATCCATTCTTTAGTTGAGGGGCATCTAGGCTGCTTCCAGGTTCTGTCCATTACAAATAATGCTGCTATGAACATAGTTGAACAGATGTCCTTGTTGTATGAATGTGCATCCTTTGGGTATATGCCCAATTTCCTGAGGAACCGCCATACTGATTTCCAAAGTGGCTGTATAAGCTTGCACTCCCACCAGCAGTGGAGGAGTGTCCCCCTTTCTCCATATCCTCTCCAGCATAAACTGTCATTGTGTTTTTTATTTTAGCCATTCTAACAAGTGCAAGATGGTATCTCAGAGTTATTTTGATTTGCATTTCGCTGATGGCTAAGGATTTTGAGCACTTTCTTAAGTGTCTTTCAGCTATTTTGGATTCCTCTATTGAGAATTCTCTTGGAAATCTCTGTCAGATGTGGGGTTGGTCAATATCTTTTCCCATTCTTTTTTTTCCTTTTTTATTTAAATTAGAAACAAGCTTCATTCACATGTCAATCCCATTTCCTTCTCCCTCCCCTCCTCCCCTGACCCTCACCAACCCCCTAGCCCATCACCTTTCTGTTCCCCAGGGAGGCATCGATCTTTTCCCATTCTGCGGGCTGCTGTTTTGTCTTGTTGACTGTGGCCTTTACCTTATAGAAGCTTCTCAGTTTCAGGAGGCCCCATTTATTGTCAAAAATTTCAATAGGTCATATGCATCTAGAAATTCAACCATTTCTTTCAGATTTTTTAATTCAGTACAATATATATAGTAACTTAAAATATGCGTTCATTATTTTCTGAATTTCCTTGGTATCTCTTGTATTATTTTACATTTCATCACTAACTCTTGTAGGCATTCTGCATCCCTATAAGACCAGAGAGAGAGAGAGAGAGAGAGCGCCATATCTGAAGTGTCTTCTGAGTGCCTGAATGGTCAAGCAAGGTGTCATGAATCCAGGATAAACATCTTCCAAGGTGACCCTGTCTGAGTAGGGTGCCCCAAAACACTCTCAAAGGAAAGTCTTTGAGTTCATATGTTCATACTCAAGACTTCAATAGGTGGGGTTTAGTCAATTCCTGAGTGGTCCTCAAGGTATCATTTGTATTAAGATGCAACATTTTTGGCATCAAGTGGATGGAACTAAAAACAAGTGTCATCCTGAGTGAGGTAACCCAGTCTCAGAAAGACAAACATGGTATGTACTCACTCCTATGCAGATATTAGCTGTGAAGTAAAGGATTATCATGCTACAGTCCACAGATTTGTAATTACTTTCATTATTTATAAATTCTTACTATAAGCCCAGTTAAAAGTAATTAGCAACACCTAAGCCATAATCTAAAGGCTGTGTCATCTTAAAACTTATTGCATTAGATTAGTCTGCCGTCATTGAACCCAGCTTACCGAAAAGACTCAAGGAATGGACAAAATGTAAACAATTCTTGGTCACAAGGTAAAGTCCAGTTTCCAGCACGGTATCCATTTGTGTCTGACATCTCATGAGTCTAGTCTACTGTCTTCATTGCTAGCAGTGCTTTAGTTTAATGGGCTCCCAAATGAATCACTTGGAGCACAGTGTTCCCGAGTATCTCTGAACTGCTTCTCCACTCTTTTCCAAATTCCTTCAGCAAACCCATCCCAGAGGCTTCTGAGCCACAGTCACATCATAAGGTAGTTACAGCAATCACTCCTCTTCACTGGTCCTCATTTTCCATTTTCCTCAAGATTTTAATCACAGTAAAAGAGTACCCAGCATAAAGCAGATAGTAAATCCATCCTGCACATTTTTCATATCAGATACTGTATTTGGGGGATCAGGACTTAGCATTTCTTATTATTTTCTCTAGTAAAATACATCATTTGAACTGTCCCCACCACCATCAGAGTCTTGCTTTCTTTTAAGGCACTCACATATTCCTAGATAAACTTTAAATAGCTGTTGTAGAAAACCAATATCTCTGGAATAGTTTTATTTACTTTTCCAAACACAGCATTTTCTTTATTCACAGGTCTAGTTATTATTTATTATATACTTAATGTATAAATGATACCTTACATCCATGTTTATAGTCTTCAAGAGTGATAGACAAATCTTAATTTAAATGTTTTGTGTAAAAGTATTCTTCTTCTGAAATAATTACTGAAATTAGATAAAGAAGGTCTGTGTGTCTGGGGGATAGATTCATGTCTGCGCACAGAGACACAGAATTGTCGGCTGGCGGTTCCTCCAGAGTCACTCACAAACTGAATACAATTGTAAGTAATATTCTGGCTTTTTAAATGTAGTTGGCTATTTAATTCTAAAAACATACACAGGCATAACAAAGGTCAATTATAATTAATAATATCCTGAAATAATAGGAATTGGAAGGCTGACACTACTAGATAAATCTTATTTTTATGAAACAATGATATTTGGTTGTTGTGATTGGCATAAACATAGAAAATTAGCCGGGCATTGGTGGTGCACACCTTTAATCCCAGCACTTGGGAGGCAAAGGCAGGCATATCTCTGTGAATTTGAGACCAGCCTGGTCTACAAGAGCTAGTTCCAGGACAGCCTCCAAAGCCACAGAGAAACCCTGTCTTGAAAAACCAAAAGAAGAAGGGGAAGGAGGAGGAGGAGGAGGAGGAGGAGGAGGAGGAGGAGGAGGAGGAGGAGGAGGAGGAGGAGGAGGAGGGAAGAAAGGAAGGAAGGGAGGAAGGAAGGGAGGAAGGAAGGGAGGAAGAAAGAAAGAAAGAAAGAAAGAAAGAAAGAAAGAAAGAAAGAAAATGGATTAAAAGAAAATATTCTCAAAACTAATCACATACATATGCAAGTTTGGTTTATGACCAATGTGAATTTACAAAGTAACTTGGAAAGCAGGGCTTTATGTTTAAATGGAGGATGCTCAGACAAGTGATTATCCATGATTTGAAAACTTTTCATCTTTCTGGCACTATATATCAAAAATAATACAGGTAAACTTCTAATTGTTTTTTATTATTTGGATTTTTGAGACTGAATCCCCACTATGCATCTGAGACTGGTTTCTAACTCAGATTCCTCCTGCCTCAGTTTCTGAAGTTCTAGCATTATAGGCATGCGTTACCATGCCCAGCCCATTGCATCTTAATCTGTTAAGACAAGGAGTTTAAGAGTCTAAAACACAACAGAACATCTTCACTTACTGTGCCTTAGTAACATCATTTTAAGCTAGACAGGAGGACTATCCACAAAGAAAACAGACAGTGCAAACTTCATTAAAAATTAAATATATCCGCCATAGAAGTCATTAACAAAAGTATTCTGTGGAACAAGGAATTCCCACAGTTGATAATATATGTGTAATCTACATTTTAAAAAGTAAATGACTTTCACAAAATAAAACATCCAAGAAGTCAATAAACATTATTAGTGTTTAAATTTTAAATGCAAGTTAAACATTGTCACAATGCACTCACCATAATGGCTAAAGTGATATATCATAGAGCAACTGAATATGTCTTTTATTGCAAAGACTATAAATTAGTGCAACCATGTAAGGAAGCTGGTTTCTACTAAACTAATAGACTTATTTAATCACACAATTGTAACCCTTGATGCACATCCAAAGAAATTTCTACATATAACAAGATAATTAAAGAAGTGGATTTGAGAGAGAGTTTAGGGGCATATGAGAGGAGTTGGAAGGGGTAGAAATAATGTAAACATAGTACTCACATATGAAATTCTGAACAAATTTAAAAATTATGGTAAAGGTTACAAAGATAAATGGAGATGATTGTTTATTCTGCATTTTGCTATTAAGACTATTTTGGAATAGCAATTATAAGAAAACCAAAATAATCAGAATATTAAAGTTGTGTTACATAGAGTTTTGACCCTTTTTACTTACTCTCTTCATTTTTCTTTTATGTGGAAGAGCCAAATATCTGTTTCATTTATTGGATAATATTTACCCAACTTGTTTTAGTTCATTTTAGCATATTCCCTAGCAGGCTTCCCCCACCCGCCAACTTGAGAATATTTCTTCTCAGTTTTGGACACAGATGTAAGCAGAAATTTTCTTATGCTGAAAAGAGACCCAGGCAGAAGCGCTTCACAGGGATGGAATGCAAAACCAAAGCTCTTTCTCCCCATTAGTCACCCTAGCCCCACCCTCTCCCCTGCCTCCCTCACCCCCACACCATATGTTTCTGAAGGACCAGCTGAATATGGTGCTGTGGAGGAGACAGAATGTGGAGGCATAAAAAGCCGTCTGCTTTTGGTGCAGTATGCCTATGGATAATTGACATCTCTGAGGCACAGTGACCCTGTTGAGCTCTGTCTAGCTGGACTTGCAAAATCCCCTCACAACTTTCCATATGGTCCGGATGCCACTTTAAACCTATGATCAACATTAATCTTTAAATAGTGTGCGTGCGTGCGTGCGTGCGTGCGTGCGTGTGTGTGTGTGTGTGTGTGTGTGTGTGTGTGTGTGTGTGTTTGTTGCGTGTGAAATTGTCAAAAGTAAAGAAGATTGAGAAAAATATTCTTCAGTGTCTTCAAATTGTTTTACTCTTTATTGGCCATCCATTAGTACATTAAACAATATTATAATAAGGCTGGTAGAGCACTTAACTCACCTAGCATGTGCAATGCCATGGGTTCAATTCTCAGCTCTGAAAAAACAAAGTTGGGAGAAAAGGGTTTTACTTCAATCATTATACAATTTATTTATTTAATTGTTTATGTTTTTGTGTAGTTTGTGCATGGGGAGGGTGGTGGTGAGTGTGGAGGTCAGAAGACAACTTGTGGGAATCAGTACCTTTTCTACTTTTCTGGTCCTTGAAATCAAATGAAGGTCATCTGTTTGGGCAGCAAGAACCTTAACCCCCTGAGCCATCTTCCTGCCCTCCTAAAGTTTCCACATGAATAGCTTAATTGTAAAGTATCACAAGGAATACGAACTTCTCTTCATGTGAATGTGATTATCAGAAGGATGACCAGGAGATGAAAGCATACAACTAATTTCTTCAACTCAGTGTTTCCTCTAAGATTTCAGGAGGAGGAAGTTGGACAGACAGAGATAGCACTGGGGAACCACAAGACCAAGCGTGAAATTGAGGGAAAGACACTCCTCTCACTAGGGAGCCAAAGCTAACCACTCTGGATATTGCAGGGCCTTCTGATCCCACCCACTCCAGCCCATCTCTAAATCCCTGAGTACATATCAGCACTAAAGAGCCAGGGACGTTATCTTACTCCGGACTGTTGTTGAACATTGGAGGTATGAATTACTTTAACCTCACCCCCTTAGAATAATAAATATAGTCCAAATGAGAATCACTATAACCATGGTATAATTGTAAGTACTACTCACTGACTCTGCAAAGATGACTCCCAAGGAACCTAACTTGGAAAACAAAGCTGGAACTCAACCCTGAGGAGCTTCCTGCCACTCCCTCAGTTTCTTTCTTGGAATTAGCTTGACTGGGATCTGTAGAAAAGACCAAGAGTGTGCAAACTCAGTTATAAGAATGAGCAAAGAAAGAGTGGCTGGCTTCATGCAAATGCCTAGAGCTGCACGGGTGTGGAGGAAGCAGAGGTTCTCATCTCTTGAGTTCTCTGGGGAAAACATACTTGATGGGGAATGTCCTTCTGTGTATGTTTATCTTATCGGTTGTTGAATAAAGTACTGTTGGCAAATGAAGAAGCAAGTTAGGCGGGACTAGGAGGCAAGGAGGATTCTGGGAAATGTAGTAAAGAAGTGTTGTGATCCAGGCAGGAAGTGACATAGCAGGGAGACTCATATATAAGCAGGGACAAACAGGAAGTCACCCTTTTGCTCTTGTTCTTCCTCTCTGCTCTGGAGCCACCATGTGATCCCGGCAAGAGAAGATGCCTGCAGGTGGCATCTGATAAGATAAGTCTTTATGGTTGATAATTAAGAATGAGTTAGCAGATGAGAAATCCTAGTCATTGTCCAAGCAGCATTTGTACCTAATATAAGTCTCTGTGTGTTACTTGGGACCTTAAGGTAGTGGCGGGTGGAACTCGGGGGGCCTGGTGGCAAGGGCCCACGTGGCAGCAGGGCTCCAGAGGATGGAGTAAAGACTTATTGTTACACATACTGACATAGAAGTAGACAAAAAAAGTTCATGAAGGAGTAAAATGCATGAAAGAAAAAGGAAGAGGCAGGATTGAGAGTGGCATCTGCCACTCCATAGCACAAAATGACGCATGTTTCTGTGAGGTCAGCAGAGTGCTCAGGAGCATGGTGCACCTGTGTAAGAGAGCTACTGTGGATGGAAACTGAAGCTCCTGGTGCCACCATCTTCAGATGTTGTCTGGTGACACCCCTAAAGCAGCATGACCTCAGCTCCAAAGCTGAGGGGGCCTCTAAGGCAGTGAAGAGGACCGCCAGAGAAACAAGCTCCTGGAAGGTGACAGTCCTTAAAATAATTGCAATCAATTGATCCTTTTACAGTGACACTTTAGATATTTAAGGCATACAAAATGAAGAAGTTTTATGATTTTATTTTACTTTAATAATGTGTATGTGCTTGTGTGTGCATGCATGTCCATGTGCGTATGCACATGGGAGTACAGGTCTCTGAGGAGGCCAGAAGAGGGTGTCTTTCTTTTGCTTTCATGCATTTTACTCCTCCATGAACTTTTTTGTCTACGTCTATGTCGGTATGTGTAACAAAAAGGCTTTACAGGCAGTTGCGAGCCACCTGACACTGACCGTGGGAACCACACCTGACTTTCTGCAAGAGCAATGCATTCTCCCAACTGCTGAGTCCATTCTCCAGGCCCCAAAATGGTCTTCTGAAACTGTTAAATGTCTACATCAAGCCAAATACCAGATACTAGTTTCTCTCTCTACATGCTTAAAATATACTCTCTTAGCTATCTATAAACATGCAGCTTTGTTATTCACTATGGTCACCAGGCTGTGTAGTTGTTCTCTTGGGCATATTCCTGTCCATCTGGAACTTTGTAGACTTTGGCTAGCATCACCTACAACCCACGTGCAGCCCCTGCTAACCAGCAAACCACCCTGTGCTTCTAAGATGTTAAATTGTGATTGCACGTGTGCCTGCTCTCTAGCTGTTTCTGCCATGGGTAGAGCAGAAGAGACTGCTGTCACTCTGCAGAGTTTGCAGAGCTTAATCCCAACCTTCCAGTGCAAGTCCTGTTGGTGCCACCTTGTCCTCATGTGGATGGTGTGTTTCTTGGTAAAGCAGCGACAACATTGGTTCTGTTATTGGTAGGGTGGGAATTTAGAGATGGCTGTATATAAACTGACATTAGTGTGAGTTTATGGTGTTGTATTGACTCACAGTCTTCATCTGTGACTACTTCATTTGCATGTCCATCACTCCAGAACAGGACAACCCAGCATGAGTAGGTCCATTATTTTCTTCAGTGATTCTCTGGATGCCAAAAGAGAGACTGTGAAAATATTTGAACACATAACTTTCCTGCCTAATATTCTAATTGTACATTTTCTCTGTGGGAGTTTCTACCACCCAGATAAGCTAATGTGTCTTACCTTCTCTTCTTCATAATTCCAATCAAATAAGTTATTTTTCCCTTAAAAATACTTACCAAATCCTTCCTTTCTTCAGGAAAATAGGGATAAAGTTTCAAATTTGCCAACTCAATAAAATCAGGAAGTTTAGACTCCTCTACTAAAAAACTTATTTTCCTGCTTAACTCAGGTAAAGTACTCAGAGACCATAGTTTCTCTCCTCTCCCCACTCTGTTGGGCAGGATATCTTCAGTGTTAATAGTTCCATGAGATGGATTGAGACCATCTTTATGCTCTCCTGGGTCTACTATTTGTATCTGGTGTTATTTAGTTGATCTTGTCTTGACCCTGGACATTCTATAATAATACCCTGAGGTATGGGTGACTGAATACAAGCTCTTAGGGACAGATGCTGTATTCTCAGTCCCCAGTAGTACTAGGCAGCAGAGTTCATGTCACTGTGTCACTTCATGAATTGGACCCTTAGCTTCTTGTAACATTTGGGTAACTTAGAGCTGTCTCCATCCCACACTAAATCATACAGAATATTTGTAGCTGTCCCCTGGTCACCTTGCTCACAAGTCTCAGAACTGTAACCTGAACACCACTGAGTTTTAAAGTAGTGCTCTCTGTCATCAGGCATACAATTCTGCTCCTGGACCCTAGAAAGTGTATTGGTAAAGCCTGCTCCCTCTGTGTCCCTGGCTCCCTTAAAGTTGATGTGAATGTTTTCCCACAATGCCTCTCCTCAAAGTTCAACTATGCAGGGAAGGAGTAAACAACGAGACTGCTCTGGGGACTCTCTCTCTTCTCCTGCCAGCCTCTATTGGAAAAATATTTTCCCTCCCCTCCACATTATTGATAATGACAAAACTCAGTATTCCAATATTTAGGATTTATTATTTGGAGTTTAGAAAGCCTTTGTTCCTCAAGCCTGACACTGAAGATTAGTCACTCCTTGGGGACTCAACAGTCAAGTTTGAGATGGAAGTTGAAGGAAGGCCTATTTCTATTTTTTGTTCTGTTTCTATCATATTTCTTGCTAGAAAGGAGCTTAATGCAAATTTTAAAGCACACACTCTCACACATACACACACTCACACACTCTCACACATACACATACACATACTTACACACTCTCACACATACACATACACATACTCACACTCTCTCTCTCTCTCTCTCTCTCTCTCTCTCTCTCTCTCACACACACACACACACACACACACACACACACACACACACACACACACACCAGTGCTTTGCCACCATTCCTGCCAGCTAGTTTCCAGTTCCCTCTACTAATCAGACACAAGCATCTCTGACCTGCTCTTTCCCAAAAGAACAATTTAAATGCCCATGGACATTCTTGAGTCTGCCTTCAAATTGGAGACAGTCAATACAGGCACTGGTAAAAAGGTTTGAGGTTAGAGGTAAGATGTTTCTCCTTCCATCTCCCAGCCTGCTTCTACAGAAAGGTAAAGCTCTGGCCCCTGGGCCCACTCACACAATCAGTAGCAATTCCCTCTCTACATAGATTCTGGATGAGAGATTTGATAACATCTCTCCTCTCAAAATATCATCCAACATCTTCTCATTTGTTTCCCTTAAAGTTTTAGATGAATAATCCATTAAACTTTCCTCAATTATCTCAAGAAATATGACATTTGCCTCCTTCAGGCAATAGATCTCTGCTAATAGATCTATTAGGTCTGCATGATTTTACCTCAATGTGATTTATTCCTTGGTCCACTTGGCCTCATGGGTAGCTCAGTCTGCTGCTTTAAAGGTTCAGAGCTGCCTGGCCTCAGCTCCTAGATTAGTTCCTTAAAGAAAATGAATCAGACTCTTAAAACAACCTGTATCTCCATCCTCTGTGATGAATGAAGATGCACTAAGTACTGCTTGAGCATCCCCTTACTCCTTTAGCTGCTGTTTGAGACACTATGGACATTGTGATAACATGAAAATTATTTTCATACGGAGTCTATATACAGCTGACACTAACAATATTTCCACTATAGGTTGTAGTTTTTAAAAATGTGTGTATCTGCTGAGTTAACTGTCATAGATTTGCCCCTCATGACTCCAGATCTGTGCTTTTTTATTTTTTCAGCAACATACATATTTTCCCTTTTAACAACAAAGCACACTTATTCCTAAATATATGGAAATATAGGTTGGCCATGTGAAAAAGATCTAAATCACCTTTTCTCTCATGATCCTGTGCTAGCCATAGATAACCATTAGAAGATTTTAGTCTGTGATGGCTTTACAGCATTGAAGTCATTTTTATATATAAAACTTTGTGACCTGGATTTAGCACCGGACAGATCTTATAGCCCTTCATATTTATGTTGTCACATGTTGGTTTTGGTCCTCCTGTGACATTGGCTGTAAATCTGTTATGTGGAGAATCATTTTAATGGGAAAGAAAATAATCTCTGTGTATAACAGCCACTGCTGTTTCAGAAACAGTCCTGAAACCTGGCATACACAGACCACCCTCATTCCTTAGTTCCCATTTGTTTAGTTTTCTCAGGGCCTTTTGCATACTAGGCAAGGGCTCCATTACAAAAGCACCTTCAGACCCAATACTTTTCTTAATCTAAGTAAAATCCTGATGATTCTTTCAGCTTCATCTGGGCAGGGAGATGTAGTTGGTGTGTGGCTATCCTAAATCAAAGGGTCTGATAGACACCAACTAAATAAAGCAAAAAATTCCTCCTAAGGAGAACTCTTATAATGGGAGCCGTGTCCCTGAGAAAGCACAACTCTGCTGGGTCAACCTCACCTGTGGGAAATGCCAAACAATAAGCAGGTGAGAGTGTCAGCTACCTCTGTAAATTGACTAGGAGAACCCAGGAATCTGCTCTACCCTATTCCAAGCCTAATACCTCAAAATCTGAAGTTAACTAATTCCTTGTATTCATAGACAGAGCTTTGGAATAACACAAATTGTCACTTGAGTGGCTTGCTCACCTAAGCTTCCGGCTTTGATGTATTCCCAAATGAACAACGCAGACCTATTTGATAACTACAACATGTCTCTTCAGTCTAAGGCCAGGATTTCATACACAAGCATACACACACACACACACACACACACACACACACACACCCACACACACACACACCCACACACACACACACACACACACACACACACACACACACAAGCATGAACATGTGGAGGGAAAGGAATAGAAGGGAAAAGGAGAGGGCACTTCAGGTAGGATTCACCCAAATATCTGACTTTGAAAAGGACCTGGAAGGCTCTAGCAGTGTATTGCCAGATACCAAGGAGGAAAAGCCTCAGGAGGGAGGCATAGGGCCCAAAATAGCCTTTCCATTATGAGGATAAGCATGGGGAGGAAAAACCTTCTAGACTGACTTTTATTCCTTTGATAGTTTTGTATTTGAAAACAAAGAAAGAAAAAAGAAGGAAGGGAGGGAGGGAAGGAAGAAGGGAAGGAAAGGAATTGAAGGAGGAACAGGGAGGAAGGAAGGAAGAGAAAAGAAAAGAAAGGGGAGAGAAGGGAGAAACAAAAGGGAAAAGAGGAAGAAATGAAAGGGAAGAAAGGAGGAAAGAGAGGAGAGTTCACCGCCATGAGGAATCGGGCTGCTTCATGCTTGTAAGAACTAATTGGGCAAAGTTGACTCTTGACAGAGTAGCTTCATCTGTGGGTAAAACAGAAAGCTTTCCTAGGGAGGGGCTGGAAGGTTCAGCCATGGCCAGGGGCCCAGACTGCTGGGCAGGGCAGCTTCCTGGTGGGAGACAGAGCCACATTCCCCCGTTATTTGTGACAGCTTCAGGACCCACAGGCTGCCTGCAATGTGCAGACTGCATAATTTAGCATGAACGTTGCCAACAATTTTTGGCCTCAGCTTTTTGACTGGTTCTCATTTAGCAGCAATTTCATTTTTCCCGGGATAATTCATGTTTTAATGAAGAAAAATTCAGTGACCTTTAGTCAACTTGGCAGTCAAGAAGGTGGGTGACAGTGGTCCAGAAAAATCATGACTGAACTTACTGTCCCAATTAAATGTCTCAGAGCAGTCATCAAGCAGTTCATTCGCATGTGACTGAACAATGTCCTGAAGAAACGACAACTGCGCATGCTCATCCAGTCAAGCGCCTCAAAAGCAACCATGTCTCTACACCAGTCCAGGTGACTACAAAACTGGGGCCAGTCCTTATTCATATGCCACACAACTTCCACCACAGGTTCTCACAGGGAGCACAAATACAGGGAAACCAACCACATCATTAAGTTTTCCAGTGTGCCACAAAGCAGCTTGCTATGCCACATTTCCATGCTAGAAGACCTCTACACTTCTGATCAGATAGTGTTGCTCGAACCTCTTGCCCAGCCCACTCCCAACAAAATATTGGTATCAATACTTTAGGGCGAAAATGTTCTCCCAGATACAGGGATTAATTCATTGTCCTGGTATAAACACACTTGGAGAGACACTTCTTCTCAGGGTGACAACATGGCGACTTTACACTTACCATAGCCTACCCTGGCCTGTGGACCTGAGGAAGGATCAGGGGCCCACCGATGTCCGACTGTGCCTCAACTTTTGTTCCTTCAGACTGAAACATGGACCCAGCCCTCTCAGCTTTATGCTTTATGTGAAGAGAGGAGGAATAGATGAGAATTTAGCTCCAGGAATTAGTTGGGAGCCACTGCAGCGTGAACAAAGCTTGTGTCCCCTGGCATACACCAGCTTGAAAGCAACGATCTAGCATTTGGTCACTTTCTGCATCCAACAGGTGTAGTTCTGGTTTAGACTTCTTTGCCCTATGTTTGGTTATTCATCTATTAGTTACATTTTAAACACAAAGTAGATTTTGAATTTCTTCTTTAATTTTTTAAAAAAAAAATTTCTCTATTTTTGAGAATTGC